TGCATGTTCTCACTCATAGGCAGGTGGTGAACAATGAGAACACATGGACACAGGGAGGGGAGCACCACACACTGGGGTCTGTGGTTGGGAGGACTAGGCGAGGCACAGTGGGGGGTGGGGAGCTGGGGAGGGATAACATGGGGAGAAATACCAGATATAGGTGATGGGGAGGAAGGCAGCAAACCACATCGCCATGTATGTACCTATGCAACAATCTTGCATGTTCTTCACATGTACCCCAAAACCTTAAACAATAAAATATATATATAAAATAAATAAAAACAAAATCATCCCAACTGTAGGACTAAGAGACAGAGACAGGAAAATATAGACAAGAAGTGAAGGATGTGGTGGCTGGGGTAGGAGGGTCCAAGAAGCATCTGCTCTGGAGTTCAACAAGGGAGTCAACAGAGAAGAGAGGAGGCAATATTCAAGGAGATAGGAATGACATTTTTCCAGAGTTAGAAATCGGGTATCTCATTAATAACTTCTTAGCAAGATTTAAATAAAAGCACATTTCAATGCATGTTGAAGTACTGTGACTACAGGATGCCAAAGAAAAAGATTTAAAAAGCAGCCAGAGAAAGAAGAGAGATCACATAGGAAACAAATGTAACTGAAAGCCAACTTCTCAACAGCATCAGTGGATGCCTGAATGCACTAGAATGACATCTTCAATGTGCTTTAAGAGATCAATTGTCATCCTAGAATTCTATACCCAATGAAACTATCTTTCAGGTGTGATGACAAAATAGACAAAGTTTATTAATAAAAGGAACTGGCAATAGGTGGGTCTCTTGGTGGTCACCACCTGCCAGGAAGCAGATCTTAAGATGATTTCCCAATAAAACAATAGATTAAGGAATAAGCTTTATTAGGGAAGTGATAGCAGAAGGAGGCAGACAAATACTTAGGCAGATGGGGGCAGGTCCCCAGTGAAACCTCACCTTCAAACCAAAGACAGTTTAAAGCCTGAAAGCCAAGCTACCAGTCTTGGATAAGTCCATGGATCAGATTGAGAACCTCTCTTCCCATTTGGTGTGCTTTCCTCTGATTGATCCCCACCCTTCACCTATTTTACATATGCCTGCCCTTCCCTGATTCGTTTTTTAGTGTCATGACCACCTTTGAATGGTACCTTTGTTTTAGCCTTTTTTGCATACTCACAAACCAATCACCCACACACCCCCATTCTGAGCTCATAAAAGCTCCAGACCCAGCCACACTGAGAGATAGACCACATGACCTCTGGTGGGAGACCATCCTCAAATACTATCTCCGTTGAAAGCTGTTTCATCACTCCATAAAACTCTCCACAATTCTCATCCTTCAGTTGTCAACATAATCGCATTCTTCCTGGATGTGGGACAAGTACTCAGGACCTCACTGAACTCAGGTACAAAGAAGGCAGTAACACTCTAGCCCTCTACCCTCCCCACCCACCATTAGTGCCTAGTGGCCACATCCTGCAAAAGGGAGTAGTGGCAGGGCCGGGCCAGCCCCAGAGCCATAGGCCAGAGTGGGGTAACAGGACTGACAGAGCTGTTAACACACCCTCATTTGTCAGGCTGCTGGCAGGCCTACAAGAGCTGTTAGCACACTGTAACACGCCCTCTGGGGCTTCAAGTTTGCAAGCTTCCCTGTCTGGGTGCCACTGCGTTCCCCTCATGTGGACACTAGAGTTCACTGCGGGAGTTACTTGTGACATGCCTGGTCCAGCCACAAGCCCCACACAGAGCCCACTTCTGTGCCAGTGCTTGGAGCAGCCAGCCGGACCCCATACTCACTCGCCCACACACACCCTCCAGCCAGGGGCTGAGCACGCAGTTGTGGTGGCCTCGGGATCTGCGCCAGAGTGCAACCAGGTGCGGCCCAGCAGACTGAGCAGGTGGGGCACCTTCTGTGGCGAACCTGGGGCCAAGTGAGCCAGGGCAGAGGTGTCACTGGCTGGAGGTCTCCAGCTGGTAAAGTAGCCATGAAAAATCCTGCATCAGAAGCTTACATGGCAAGTGGCAGCAAGAGACACAAAAGCAGGGAGCCTCCAACCCCCTCCTCACCCTGTTCTGCTCACACTGAGAGCTCACCTTCCAGGGAGAAGCACTGGCCCCTGTTGCTATCCTTCCAAGGCAAACAGGAAGCGACCTATTAGGAGGGGATGACTCTCTAAGGCAGCAGCAATTGGGACTTGGGTGCCAGCTGTTTTCGTTGCTGCCTGAGAAAGCCAGCTGCCCCACACTGGGGCCCCAAGGGATGCCAGGCTTGCATCACTCCCTCCCACTGAAAGAAGGCAGGCTGAGTGGGGGCGGGGTGGTTTTAACTGACTCTCTCCAGGCCACCCTGAGCGAGCTTCTAGGGCTCCCTTCAGACAATTCTGCTGTTGCATCCTGTATCCCTTAAAGGAAATTCTAAAGGATCAACTTTAGAAAGATGGAAAAGGATCCCAGATGGAGGGTATTTGATGCAAGAAGGAATAATGAATGTACCCCCATAAACATATGCACCTACTATGTACCCACAAAAATTAAAAAGAAAAAGAAATCATGAGCAGATATTGGTAAGTAGGTAGATAAATTCTGACACACCTTGGCTGCCTAACAGTAGAATGTTTAATTTGTGAGTTTAAAAACAGGGTAAGTCAGGCATGGTGGTTCACGCCTATAATCCCAGCACTTTGAAAGGTGGGCAGATCATGAGGTCAGGAGATCGAGACCATTCTGGCCAACATGGTGAAACCCTGTCTCTACTAAAAAATTAGCTGGGCATGGTGGTGCCATGCCTGTAATCCCAGCTACTTGGGAGGCTGAGGCAGGAGAATCCCTTGAACCAGGGAGTTGGAGGTTGCAGTGAGCCAAGATCGTGCCACTGCACTCCAGCCTAGTGACAGAGCGAGACTCCATAAAAAAAAAATAAACCACAGGATAAAATGGAAACACTGGACAATATAGCATATAAATTAGGATTGTCCTTGTTTTATTTGAAGAAAGCTAAAGAAGTGATTAAGCTTAGAGTTCGCATACTGCCAGTGTTAAAGCAGCCACCGTAACGATTACAGTAACGATCATATAATAGACAAACTCTACACTAGGAAGATCTAGGAAAAATAAATAAGAGGATAAAACCTTTTTGTCTCCCAAACAAGTCCAAAGAAACGAGGTTGAGAAAAAACAAGTGGGAAAAAAAGCACTTAGTAAGATAGTATAATAAATCCAAATGTGATAAACCCTCTCCAGGTAAAAACAAAGACTACTGACTTTAGGGTTTTTTTGTTTTGTTTTGTTTTGTTTTGTTTTTTTGTTTTTGTTTTCTGTTTTTGTTTCTGTTTTTGAGACAAGGTATCTCTCTGTCACCCACGCTGGAGTGCAGTGGCATGATCTTGGCTCATAGAAACCCCTGCTCCCCTGCCCCCCCTGCCCCTATGTTCCCTGCCCACTTGGGCTCAAGCGATCTTCCCACCTCAGGCTCCAGAGTGGCTGGGACCATGCAGGCATGCACCACCACACCATTTTGTGTGCTTGTGCATGTGCGTGTGTGTGTGTGTGTATTTTTAGTCGAGATGGGTGTTGCCATGTTGCCCAGGCTCATCTCAAACTCCTGAAATCAAACAATCAGTCTGCCTCCGCCTCCCAAAGTGCTGAAATTACAGGCGTGAGCCACTGTACCTGGACCTGACTCAGTGTTTATAAAAGACACAGTTAAAATATAAGAATTCAGAAAAATTTAAAGCAAAGGATGGAAAAATATATGAGCCAGAAAAAGCTGCAAGGAGAAATAAACTATTCGTCATAGTACTTGGGAGACTTTAAAACACCTAAAACACCTCTCTCAGTAAGTGATGAGTCCTCTCAGTAAGTGACGAGTCCAATAGAAAAACATCTATTAGTATACAGATTTGTACAAAATAGTTACAAGCTTGACAGAAGGGCACATACGCGACAGCACCGTGCCCAACAATATGAAGCTACAGATCCTTTTCAGAACTATAGAGAGCATGAAAATGGCACTTGCTGCTGAGGAGATGGAGAAACTGGAACTTTTGTTCGTTACTAGTGGGAATGCAAAGTAGGATAGCCACTAGAGAAAACAGGACGCCAGTTCCTGAAAAGATTAAATCCAAAATTACCAGCAATTCTGCTTCTGAGTATACACCCCAAATAAGTGAAAACAGGATCTCAAAGACATATTTGCATATCCATGTTCACAGCAGCATTATGCAAATAGCCAAAAGTTGGAAATAAGCCAAGCTTTACCGATGGATGAGTGGGTGCATAAAATGCGGTCTATATATACAACCGAATATTATTCTCAGCCTTAAAAAGAAAGGAAATGCTGCCCATGCTACAACATGGATGAGCCTTGAGGACATTGTGCTTAGTGAAACAAGCCAGTCACGAAAAAGATAAATACTGTATGATTCTATTCATAAGAGGTTCCCAGGGCAGTTAGATTCATAAACACAGAAAGTAGAACGGTGGGTACAGGGGCTGGGGGTAGGGGAAATGGGAAGTCATTGTTTAATGGATACAGAGTTTTAGTTTTGCAAGGTGAAAAAGTTCTAGAGATCAGCTGCACAGCAATGTGAATGTACTCAATGCCATTGAGCTGTACACTTAAAAATGGTTAAGATGGTAGGCCAGGCAGGGTGGCTCACATCTGTAATCCCAGCACTTGGAGAGGCCAAGGTGGGTGGATCACTTGAGGTCAGGAGTTCAAGACCAGCCTGGCCAACATGGCAAACCCCTGTCCCTACCAAAAATACAAAAAAAAAAAAAATTAGCCAGGTGCGGTGGTGTACGCCTGTAGTCCCAGCTACTCAGGAGGATGAGGCGTGAGAATTGCTTGAACCTGAGAGGTGGAGGTTGCAGTGAGCTGAGATCGTGCCACTGCATTCCAGCCTGGGCAACAGAGACTCTGTCTCAAAAAAAAAAAAAAAAAAAGGTTATTTGTGTTACGTGTATTTTATAGTAAAAAAATATAATGGTATGTCAAAATACTGTTTTTTTAATTATATGGAATGCTTCAAAAATCGTGTGTGTCATCCTTGTGCAGAGGCCGTACGCATCTTCTCCGTATCATTCCATCTAGCACGGCGAGCAGAAAATGCTATTTGTTAAGCCCAATAAAGTGAGTTGTGAAAAAAATATATGGCACTTTTATGAAAGTGACCATGTTGTGGGGCCATAAAGGCAGCCTCCACACGGTTCAAAGCATCAGAATTGAGCAGGCCACATTCTCTCACCAAGATGCAACCAAATCAGAAATCAATAATAAAAAGCCCAGGAAAAAAAAAACAGAAGCATGTGTTTCATAATGTGCTAAAGAAGAAATTATTATAGAAATGAGAAAGCATATGCAACGGAACTAAAATAAGGTGCCCATCCAATGAAATTTAAAATCATGGTTAAGAGAACATCAGTTAGTGACAGGGAAGAAAGGTAGTAAAATTGTTTACTGAATATAAAGTCAACATTACGTAACACTGCAAGCAGCATAGTCCCTATGGTATAAACGTGTGCTTCTGTGTATGTGTTACACAGACAACAGATCGTAATAGACAAGATGGTAATAGACAACACACACACACACACACACACACACACACACACGATGAGAAAATGGATACACACCAGCAACTAGCATTACAAGCTGGTCAATTTTGGAAGGTGGGATTTACAAGGGATGCTTATTTATGTACTTCCTCATGCTGTTTTCTAGATGAATTAATATGAATTCGGTGATCAGAAAGGAAAACAATAAAGGTAACTGAGACCCAGCAGCAGGGGCTGGGGAACCACACGCCCCCAGGGCCCACCTCCTGTCCTCTCAGTGCTGCTGCAGGACGGACACCCATCACATGAACACAATAAACCACAAGACATTGGGTGCCCAGGGGAAGACACCAGAGACCCCCCACTCTGCCTTCGGGGGGAAGGATGCCAGCCGGCAGGACCCTCGGTAGGGGCGGCCTGGGTTCCGTCCCCAGATTTGCCGAGGCCAGTTCTGATCTGTCTGCAAGGCCTCCCACTCTCCGTCCCCTCTCCCGCCACCCATTCTCAGGCTCTTGGCTGGTTCTGGAGCCCCCAGCTGAAGGTTTTGGCCCCCTGAGAGCACCTCAGTACCCAGTTCCCTGGGGCCTGCTGAACCAAGGAGAGGAAGGCCACATCCAAAGCTCCTAAAAGTGTCTGTTCACAAAAACAGAGCCTGTGGGAGCTGTAAACTCAGAGGCTGTTTGACGGGGAAGCAGGACAGGTGTAGTCATTTGGAAAGCAACCAGCATACCTTCCATGCACACCCCCAGCCCAGCCCTCCCGGAGCCAGGGAGCCGGCCCTTTACACAGGCTTGGGGACTCAGGGAGAAATGTAACTTGGAGAACCTGTTATGTTAGGAGATGATCTTGGAAGGGAGGGCAAATCCCCAGCGACCCCGAGGATTTTCAGGGGCTGCTCTGGAGCGGGAGGAGGTTTCACTTTTCCAGGGGGCCTGAATTCCTCGACCTCCCACAGGGGTGAGAGCTGCAGCTTTAAATGACACCCTGCCCAGCTCTCCAGTCGGAGAGGTCCAAAACCAGAGACAGTGCTCTCCCCTCCTGGGAGAAGGAGAATTAGAATTTTTTTTTTTGAGACAGAGTCTCACTCTGTCACCGAGGCTGGAGTGTAATGGCATAATCTCGGCTCACTGCAACCTCTGTCTCCTAGGTTCAAGCGATTCTCCTGCCTCAGCCTCCCAAATAGCTGGGACTACAGGTACATGCCACCACACCCGGCTAATTTTTGTGTATTTTAGTAGAGACAGGCTTTTCATCATCAGCCAGGCTGGTCTTGAACTCCTGACCTCACGATCCACCCACCTCAGCCTCCTAAAGTGCTGGGATTATAGGCGTGAGCCACCATGCCCAGCCTAGCAATATTAATAATAAATAAGAAATTTCACCAGAGTGTACTTACAGACACCTAGATGGTACATATATTTTTATTTGTGTATCTATTTTTTCATATGGAAAACCAAATGTCCCAGCAGCATTACTGAATAGGGACCATTTCCCCTGCTTGATCTGCAATGCCAGTATCAACTGCAGTATACCAGGTTTCCAGATATGCTCATTTGTGGCCTAATGGGACCACCGTCCTATATGCTGTCCCTTGTTCACTGAACTGTGTGAGACGTGATCGTACAAAATACACAATACTCTTTACGACAAATTCCACAGAGCTAATGGATTCTCACAGAAGGCTTCTGATTTTTGCTTAATTCTCATATACATAGCCAACCTGTGGTTCCAATGGACGAGTTCAGTTCTGACACGAATGCCTGTTATTTTCATTTCTTTTAACAAGTAAGAGTAAAGCTAAACAGCCGAGACTTACCTAGGAACCGCGCCTGTCTGACAAGGGGCCAAGGGACCTCTTTGTTGCATTGCATAAGCTTCTGAATCTTGGAAGAATTTTCCTCCACTTGCTTGGTGCTAGTCACCATGGAATAGCTATGGACACAGCTGTGACATTTACCTCATGTTTACCGCATTCCTTCCACCTGCCTTCACACTATCGTCACTTTCTTAAGATGGAGTCTCCTTTTGTTGCCCAGGCTGGAATGCACTGGCTGGTGTGATCTAGGCTCACTGCAACCTCTGCCTCCTGGGTTCAAGCAATTCTTCTGCCTCAGCCTCCCAAGTAGCTGGGACTACAGGTGTGCGCCACCACACCCGGCTAATTTTTGCATTTTTAGTAGAGATGGGCTTTCACCATGTTGTCCAGGATGGTCTTGATCTCTTGACCTCGTGATCCGCCCACCTCAGCCTCCCAAAGCGGTGGGATTACAGGCATGAGCCACCGCGCCCGGCAACGCTATCACTTTCTTAAAATTAGATAACAAAACAACAAGTCAAGCCCTGACTTGTGGCATCTGTCCATTTCCAAGCTATAAATCCTCCTGCCTTGGGCAAATGTGATTTCACTGGGCTTGGAGTTTTAAGAGATGCACAATGGCACACACCCAGGATTTCCCCCGCTGCGGGTACAAGATAGAAACCACCTCAGGGCACAGACACGAGGAAAATGTAAAATAACTAGTTTTCAGTATTCCTTACCTTTGTATTTTAATGTAATTGCTCATAACATTCCTGTACATTTAACTCTCACTGTTCAGCCAGCCCCAGCCCATGAGTGCCCCTCGAGCCCTGTTCCTGGTGCCCAGGCCCTTGCCGTGCCAGCCAGGAGCAGAAGGCTGTGGAGGTTGGAGAGGAGAGTGGCTAAGCATGGCCTGGAGGTCACCATGCAGCCGTGGACGCCCCACTGGCTGCGTCCTGCCATGCTCATCTTGGAGGTTACGGGGACCTTAACTCAGCCCAACTCACCCCAGAGACCACTCTGCTCTTTATTTATTTTTGAGATGGAGTTTTGCTCTTGTTGCCCAGGCTAGAGTACAATGGCGGGATCTCAGCTGACCGCAACCTCCGCCTCCCAGGTTCAAGCAATTCTCTTGCCTCAGCCTCTCCAGTAGCTGGGATTATAGGCATGTGCCGCCATGCCGGGCTAATTTTGTATTTTTGGTTGAGACGGAATTTCGCCATGTTGGTCCTCGAACTCCTGCCCTCAGGTGATCCACCCGCCTCAGCCTCCCAAAGTGCTGGAATTATAGGCGTGAGCCACCGTGCCCGGCCACTCTGCTCTTTATATAAATCATGACCTTTTAATTTCACTGCTAGGGAGTCCAAGTATTTTACCACTACAAATGGATGTTTTGGCAGGTATAAAAATCAGCAAAATATAGAATAAACATTGTCTGTGCAGATTTACAGGCAATGGGAGAGAGCCATCGCAGAGGAATAAAGGCCTGGCTCACAAGCCTTGCCCATGTGACTACGTGTTTAACTGAGGCCGAGAAGTAACCGCAGCTCAAGAGGCGTCTGAGAAGAGCCTCCGCACACAGCACCACGGCCTGCAGGACCCAGGCCGACGTGCTGACGGAAGGTTTGGATTTTGCAGCGATCGAACGAGTTTAATGCTAAAAATCTGTGGTTTAAGAGATTTTATTTGAAAGTTCTTTTTTTAAAAGCATCCTGGTGTTTGTATTGAAACTGTCCCAAAGACGCTTTTCTTTAGAGCCATAATCCCTGGAAATGGAAAACCCACCAGAAGAATGAGAGCTTGCTCCTCTCCCTGGGTGCACGCTGGGCTGGAGAGTAGAATGAGGTCAGCTTCGCGGTGGGTCCAAGCCACACGGGGGACGGCTGCAAGCCAGGCCACCGGCCAAGGCTCGGGGCTGCATTATGACTTTCAGGGGCCCTTCCTCTATAAAAAATATTAAAAATTTGATTTTATGATGGTATTGATATAAAGATGAATATACTCATATTATATATTAAAACATTTCCTTTGACCTAAAAGTTCATTTTTCTTTTCTGATTATGAAAGAAATGAAAACACTTTCAAGGGCTGTGAAAGGCGCCGTGGGTGCTGGCGCCACGCCTGCTGGGCTTGACGGGTCGGACAGCCCTGCGGACACTCCCACACAGAGCGGCTGCAGCCTCAGGCAGGATGGGCCAAGCAGCAAGGTCGTGCTGCAGGTGCATGGTTTGGGGTGGGTGGTGGCCATGCCGCGCAGGAATGCCTGTCTGATTCTGCCCTCTCAGGTGTCCTCACTCACCCACAGCCCTTACTGCGACACCAGCCAAAAAACTGGTCATGCTAATCTCAGGTCACTAGCTTGCCGTTTCTCAGCTGAGTGCTCATGCAGATGACGGGATACTCAAGCAGGAAAACCCAGGGCCAGACAGGCCATGCCCTCCTGACCTGCTCCCAGGGGCCCTGGGCCAGCAACGTGTGCAGTGAACACAGCCAGGCCCCTGTATCCCAAAGGACATCGTGCCAGGGACCGAGAGCTGTGCCTTGCTGAGCTTCGGTTTCCTCAACTGTGGGTTGGCTACGGCCCGATTCCCAGCCCAGCAAGGCTCACTTGAGAAGGTCGGCGCCGAAGGTCTTCCTCAACAACTGTACGCGCCAGGAGGCTCTTCTTTCCCTGCGGCTCCAACAGCACAGCAGAAGGACTTCCCTGGCAGGGGGAATTTCAAGCCCTGATCGAGGTGCCAAGCTCTGGAACATGCAG